CAATTTGTTTTCCTCTTATGTATTTTGTGGTGCTTTATTTAAAAAAAAAATTTCATTACCTCTCCCTAGCTCTGAAGGAAATTGAGATTAGCAAAAGTGTTATGAGAATAGTATTCTTTTCCACTTTCGACAGCAGTGTGCAGTACTTTTCTCAGTTACCCCTGTGTGCATTATTGAAGTACACTGTAGTTTTAACGATTGAACAATATGAGAAAGTATTATGTATTCGTATTTTCAAAGTATTAATTGAATTCTAGACTGTTTCAGATAAAAATGTTTCCTCAGGTGTCACTTTTACCAAAGGTGTCAATACAAGTGATTTTTAAGTAAGATTTTTTCTACGTATTAAAATATCAGTTTAATGGTAACTATTCAGGGGAAGAAAAATACACCATCTCAAGAAAAAGACACCATCTCATGAAATGGCACACAGAACTACATTCCAATTTTAGAAACATTAAAATTTAAGAGTGGAAACAAGGAAATGTAGTATTTAAATAATTCAGACTTTGTTACCTATTAGTGCTACAGATATTAAAGTTAAAAGATTAATTTGCAATTTGAAAATAAAAGTTCTCTTTTTTACAGATATTTATTGATAGAGATCCAGCAGCATTTGCACCCATTTTAAATTTTCTTCGAACAAAAGAACTAGACTTAAGGTAAGAAATGCACTCTTTTTAAAGTAAATTCTTACAGAGAAATATGTCTTTTTAGTATATTTTATGAACGAAAAGGTTTTTTTGGTTTGTTTTGTTTTTTGTTTTTTTTTTCCCTTGAGTTAGGGTCTTGCTGTGTCGCCCAGGCTGGAGTGCAGTGGCATGATCTCTGCTCACTGCAACCTCTGCCTCTCAGGTTCAAACAATTCTCCTGTCTCAGCCTCCCGAGTACCTGGGACTATAGACACATGCCGCCATGCCCGGCTAATTTTTTCTATTTTAGTAGAGAAGGGGTTTCACTGTGTTGCCCAGGCTGGCCGTGAACTCCTGAGCTCAGGCAGTCTGCCCGCCTTAGCCTCCCAAAGTGCAGGGATTACGGGAATGAGCCACTACGCCCAGCCAGAAAAGGTTTTATTTATTTATTTTTTTACTAAGACTTTGATTAAAAGTTACCTCACACTGAAACTGGATGTGGTGGTACGTGCCTATAATCCCAGCTACTCTGGAGAAGAGACTAAGGCAGGAGGATCCCTTGAGGCCAGGAGTTTGAGGCTGCAGTGAGTTTTGATCATGCCTCTGGCCAGTACTGCTGTACTGTTAGCACAAATAGTTTTGAAATAGAATAAGAAAGTTTCAAGCATTTTTTTTTTTTTTTT